TTTTACTCCAACAATGATAACTTGGTGTTGGAATTGTAGTCTATATTATTCATTTTTATACAGTAGCTCTTCCACTTGATATTCTCTCACTAAATAATATGTAAAATACTGACACCTAATGTTAACTTTCAGTATTATTCATTTCATAAAACTCTTAGTATTAGATTTTGGGGGAAATCATCTAAAATAATTCACCAAACTGTAATTTTACTTTGGCAAGATATTCATAGCTTCTGCTACTTAAATATGAAATGCTGGGGCACATTACAGATACCATATTAACTATATACTGCATATGTAAAAGGAGGGAGGGGGTTACATTTGTTTCACTATTCAAAACCGAAGGTGAAGAATTTTAAAAAGCTATAGTTAGTGACTTCTGCTATACAAATTTCAACACATGGAATATGCCACCATATTTACAGAAGGTCTTAGTTAGCATTTGTATACACTTTAGAGTGCCACAGAAAAGCCAGGTACTAATTACCATTGTTAACAAACTGTTTTCAGTGAGAAGTACCCAGCCATGGAAATCAACAAGTCAAGTCAAGTCAGTCCCAAGGCTGCTGAGACCGTTGGGGAATCTTAGATGCTGTAACAGCCCTCCTAGGTTAGTTGAGTTGCTTTGCATCACTGGTGATTCTTTGGGCAGAGTGACACCCATGTCCTCTCCAGGTATGGCTGATGATCGTCGGCTTGCAGTGACCTCATTTTGTTACCTGTCAGCTCTGTGTTCCTGAGGGAGCCCTGACACCCAGCTTGCTGGACTTACAAAGGACTTTTTATATTCCCCGCCCCCACACAAACCCCCATCATCTAACCAGAACCAAGCAGAAGAAAAGTTTAATAGGCATCTCGGGCATTACATTCCCTGGTCCCAGTATGGGAGGCCTATTTAAACTTGATTGACTAAACTCGGTTGTTGGGTTAGGGAATGCTGAGTCAAGAGACTGAGTCAGAGGGGGTATGGGCGACATTTGAACAATGGTTAAGGGTTCATCACAGCGTCCAGCCCATTGGAGCCCTGACCACAAATGGTGTCATACTTTTCCTGGGATGACTGGTGGAAGTGCTCGCCACAAAGTTTATGAACCCTCCAAGTAATCCCCTTAAGTATGTTAAAGGACTACAATAAGATCTGAAAGTCATGCTAAGCTGAGGCTTATTCACAACAGGTAAAATACAAAACACTGATGCTGACTTCACAGGGCAAGCATAGCTAGGCCATCTGAGAAGAAGCAATGTGGTATCCCTTCCAGTATATCTTCTATATTCATAATATTTTCAAGCTGGCTCCTAGGTGTCTGGTTACTCCTTAAAACTTTATGTTTTTCCTGGTTGTTAATCAGTTTCTTGAGATGATCCAAACCAGATAACCCCTTGTCACTGAAAAAGGTAATTCATTTAAATTGAAACTGTTTATATAACAGAATTTTCCCTGTCATTTATGGCTTGGGACCCTCTTGATTTACACAATTAAAAGAATGCAGTAAAGAGGCTGGACTAAGGGCATAAAAAAGCTGTAGGGCAGCAAAGTGTGCTTCAAGAGAGAAAAATCTCTCTGATACCATCCACAGTTGTTCTCAAGAAGCTTGGAGAAACAGATCGTTTCCCTTCAGCGATAGTGCTGGGAACTTTGCTTGTCAACAAATCACCCAAGTGCCTTGGAACAGTTAGATCCCAGCTCTCACTCTCTCTTTGTCTTTCTTCCTCTTTCTCTCTCTCTTTTTCTTTTTCTTTCTAGGCATAACTTTTTGAACCTGAATTTTATTAGTTAAGCTTGAGTTAAGTTTCCCCAAATACTCAATTAATCCAGGGTAATATTGTAATTCTTTTTGTTTGTTTTTCCTTCCATGTCTATTACTACTAGTACCATTATAAATTTCATATACTTAGCAGTAAATAACTTTTATAGTCAAACTGGTGATAACTGGGTGTATTTTTCCTTCTCTACTTCCCCTTCCCTACTTGCTCTGCAGCATCATCACATAACACAACACAACACATATTTTTTTTCTCCAATTAAAAAGAAACTAGAAGCTTTACTAATGTGCCAGGGGCCTAGGACTATATTATTTAGTTTAAGATCTAAAACCCATCTGCCCTTCACAACCTTCCACCCCTATAGCACCCTAGCCTTGCCTCACACCACACCCCTCTACTCCATAGGCCCTCCTTACCAACAGCCCCTTGGTGCCTGTTATCCCCCCCATTCAGTCCTTTGTGCCCCCCAGGAGCTCCTTCCCCTAAGGAACCCTCCCAAACAGTTCCCCCTCCCCATCACAGCCACCAACGTTGGGGCAGGTAGGGGTAGGGCTCTAGCTGTCCTCACTCTTCCACTTTGCCTCCCTCCCCTACAGCATGTCCATAGCTGGCATCCTCTACCCTCTACCCTTAAAAATAGCTCCATTGGGGGTGAGGACTTGCCGAAGGGAGAGATACAGCTCCATATAGAAACACAAGTAACACAAGCAGCACGTTGACAGAATTACAGAGACCCTAGAAACATATCCCAAATAAATGAGCACACCCCAAAGTGATGGGCCAATCTGGTAACAATCTGCCCTTTGACAGGTCTTGTTTTTAGTCATGCAGGGTGTCTTCATGCAGGCTAGCCCAGGTGGGGCAGCCAGTTTAGTTGCTGACAACCCAACCATGGAACAGCCTTTGCTGGTTTACATGGTACCAGATAGCAGACCAAGAGAGGCTTGACCAGACAGGAATTTTTAGGTACAAACATTCAAAAAGCCTGAGGCAGAATTGATCTAAGTCACATGGTTTTCTGTAAGCAGCATAGTTTAGATCAGTAGCAAACAGAATACAAATTTGCCCTCCTGGCAGGGGTGGCAGTCTATGTGTGGCAAACTTCTGTTCTGTTATGGATATAGATTGGCTTCTGATAGGAAACCAGTTCAAATCTATAACACAAGTTCAGTGCATTTCAAAATGGCTGAAACTGGTTAGAGATGGATGGATGGATATAGTATCAGATTTATCTGATTTAGGTTAAATCAGTTTATTGAACTTCTGTTCCAAATCCCCTCCAGATTCCAGTTAACTCACTGTCCCCCAGCATCCCAGGATGCTTTGTATCTCCCACACAACCCCCCTGGCCTCCATTTTCAGGGTGGGCAGGCTAGGCTTGGCCTAAACTGTCTGCTCCAGCTGAGCAAGAAGGCATGCTGTAGCACCCCTAGGTTTCTGGCCTGGGCCACTGCAGATATCTGACAGCATTTCTGGAATCAAAAGTAAATGTCTGTTTTCATGCTTATCAGTTCAATCTATGCAGTTTTCACTAACCTGTGAAGATTGAATCAATTCAGTTTTAGGCTTTTTGACTGTTTGGAATTGGCCTTATACTGGTAAACGTGCTATGTCTGTACCTGGCCCATGAGGACTGGGAAGAATTTTTCCTTTTCTGTGCAATACGCAGTTGAACAAATGATGTAAGCTGACACTTAACACTAACAAGAAATTAGATAATTGTAGTACGTTTCTAATGTTAGGGCACTTGTGGCAATTATTTCCCCATTCCCTGCTTTCCCCACTTTACAAAAACATTGCAAACAAGAATTTTATAGTGAAAGTACCTGGCCTTTTAATTACTAGTAAAGATCAAGCTGTGATTATTGATAAAAGGATAACCGAGCTGCAATCAATAATCCAGTTTTGCTTATAATATACAGCTTCTTAATGTCATCAAAAGCTCTTGATGAAGTCACAGCTTTTCAGGTAGATGAGAACCCTGTGTTAGTCCTTATATCAGTTTTATATTATATGAAAGGGTACTTATTTTTTGCAGGCACAGATAATATCAGCAAATGATTTATTTTGCAGTTCATCTTACATGAACTCACCACGGTCACTGAGCACTACATTCCCTGAAAATGTGATAACATCATTCATAGATATCACCACAACTGAGGATTTAAAGTATCATGCTGCCATCCTCAGGGATGGTTTCAAGTAAAGAATGATACCATAAGGGTATGTGTTCTATTACCTCAGATCCTAGGGAAATACAAAAGAGGTCCAGAACCATGGGTCCTCATTCTTGGTTCAGATCTAATTTTAGGGTTTATTGGGAAGAGGAACAGCTATCTTGCTCCTGCTTTCCCCCACTCGGGTAGAGGCTGAAATTTAGAGGCAGTGCCCCATGTACTCCCCAGGGGACCTGTAGACATTTACTGCCAATAGTTAAGAACAGCCAAAGGACTTTTCCTGAGCTTCCTTCAAAACGTCACATTCTAAGAAAACAAAGTGCTGAAGTACCATTTAGAAGCTGTTTTCAGGACCAGAAATATTTCAGACTTGAAACAAGAAGTACCAAACACATTAGGAGAAAGCCTATTACCAGGAGAATTCAATTAACCCATGAGATGCATAGAAGCTGTGAATAAGTATAAACTTCCAGCATCTTGATTCCTATTTATGCTAAGCCATTATCTACAAGAGAAAATTGCATTGATCAGACTTGCGTTGGTTTTTAAACTAATGCAAACCTTTGAGTGAATTCATATTTTGGTTTACAGTGTTTTATTTTGCTTGATCCATTTCAGCTCAACCTAAGTAAGTTTCATTTAAAATGAGTGACCATGTAGCCATTAACACTGGTTTAATGAAATCTCCTTAAGACCATGTAGTTAGTGAAACCAGTGCAATTTTCTCATGAAAACATTCCCTAAAGCCACTTAAACTATGGAATAGCTTAAAGTGGGGTCTTAAAGTGGTGTAAACATACTACTGTTGACAGGGTGTGTCAGCAAGTGAGAATTCATGCATTAGATCTTTAACCAAATTCTACATTCAAAATGTATGGACCTTTTAAGAGATTTACCATGTGCCAGTTAATGGTTTTCAAAAAATAGTTGCTTGGCTTCCTTTTTTTTAAAGATATACCTCTTTATTTCCTACTGTGTACAGTTAAATAAAACTGACAGAAATTACAAATGCAAATGAGATTGCAACCTTTAGGTACATTATTGATTTAATTTCCCTTTATTTCCATTCTTTGTTCCATCCATCACATTATTACAGTACAACAAGGATTTTTATTTTTTGTGGTCTATAACAGTTCATCTGTACTTCTCAAGCCTAATGGAATAAAACTATATAAAATGTTTAGAGAAGCCCCATTAAAATGTACAAAGCATGCTAATTCATGGAATCAAAGTCAAAGCAGAGTGGAAATATGAGCTTTAATAAAATGTATGTCTGTTGTAAATAACTATTCAAGCACAGTCTTTTTTTTTGCAAATTGCATGGAATGTAGGCTAACCTACTAGAAGCACAGAATCGCTCAAAAGGATAAATGCATCTTAGTCAAAAATAGATTAAAAGATACAGCTGAGCCATCAATAAGAACAGGATAGTGCAGTATTGCTTGCTCTTTGTTTTGAAGATGTAATTGCAGATCCCAGGATTTCAATAAATCTGTGCACATCATGGAAAGAATTGTAGAGAGGAACTGGGGCGACACGAAGAGCATTTGGTTCTCGCATGTCACACTGCAAAACAGAAAATGAATGCTGAGTAAATTAATGTCACATTGTTTATTTGTCTGAACAAAATGCCAAAAATTTACTTTGGCCTTACAGTCAGGTGAGCACACTAACAGAAAACTAAATAACCCTGCCCCTGCCCCAAACTGCAATCACCGCAAGGTGGACACAGAGAGAATCTTGTGATTATGCTTGAACTCTGGGTGAAGTTACACATTCCACTTAAACCCCTCAAAATGCAGGCATTGGCATGTTAAAACTTGTTAAGCCATGCTAAGCACCCTGGCAGGAAGGGGCTTATTCAGCTGCTGGCTGCTTGTACCCAGCAGGGTCTGCCGGGCCCAGCCACTGCTGCCCCGTGTTGGAAGACAGCTCCCTGCTGGCAAGAGTGGGCTTATTCAGCTGCTGTCTCTGAGCACAGGGCAGCTGTGGTGTGAGCGCCTCCTCTGTGCTTGGAGCAAGCCCCCTCCTGGGAGGAAGGGCCTCATTTAGCTGCTGGCCACAGGGTCTGCCTGGCCGCGCCACAGCTGAAGCTCAGGAGGAGAATAATGGGGATTGAATAAGCCCCCTCAGTGGCTTGCCCCAGCACAGAAGAAGCAGCGGGGGCCAGCCCCATCCCCACCCAGCAGCTGGAGCGGCAAGCAGAGTGTACCTGACAGGTGGAGCCCATCACGGCTTCCTTTTAGGGGCTGCGCTGTGTGGCTGGCTGAGCAGCTGTAGAGCATGGCGGTGCTGAGGGGGCTTGCAGGGCTTTGGCCCCAGATCCCAGCACTGCCGTGTGCAGCCCAAACCCACAGTGCAACCTCTCACTGGGAAAGATCTCACTTTCCCGCACAGTGTGACAGAAGCTGCCGCCCCCAGTACAGACTCTACCCCTCCTACTGCAGCAGTGGGGAGGAGGCATGGCCAGGCAGGGCCCACGGAAGGGGAGGGCAGGGTCAGGGTTTTCCTCCTCCCTCTGGCTTCCAGCAGAGGGGACAGCTGGGGCCTATTCCAGGCAGGGAGCCACCCAGCTGCCCATGGGGTAGAGGGGAAACTAACTCTGCTCCCTGCCCCACTCTGCCTCAGGGGCCATGGTGCCCCCCTGCTGCAGCAGCGAGCCCCGGCTGGGGCCCCTGCCGGTGGCACAGGGAGTGGGAATTAAACCCCCCTCTGGCCAGTTCAGCCTGGGTTGGCCATGCCCCCCAACACAGCTTCCCTGCAGCCCAGGGCTGGCTCTAGCACCCCTGGTTCCTGGCCTGAGCAACTGCAGGCATGTGCCCACATTGTCTCTTGGATTTGGCTGCATGGAATCAGGAACAGTGATCCAAATCCACTAATCAAATCGCTGTCCACAATTCTGGCCAAATCTGAATCGAATACAGCCTGTTTCGCACACCCCTAGTGTTTATGTCCGTATCATCAAATCTTCCCGAATCTCTTTGAATCAATTCGAAGGGTTCCAATTTGATTCAGAGACATTAAAGGGACTCCTAAGTAGATTTGGATTCAGAGATTCAGCCCCCCCCTCCCCGCCCCCCAAAAAATTCAGTTTCAACTTAGCGTGGAAAGATCATATTTCTGTAACCTGAGTATTAAAAAAATTCCTTCGTATTATAAATGATAAATTTATCATCTGTGGATCTCATCCAAAGCTTATTGAAGTTAAGCAGAGTCTTCCATAAGCCTGAATTGATGGGACTGTATAGGAATAATAACAAAGTTATTTTGGTGCATTAAATTCATAAAAGATGGCACAGAAAAACAAGTGATATGGACAATGATTTACTCACCGCTACTCCTCTCTTATTCAGCTCTGTAAATACAGATTTGATTGGAACAGAAAAAGTTAGAGTGAGCTGACATCCCCTTTCCTCAATCTGAGGTGGTGTAATAATTTTTACAGAAGGTTTCTCTGGATTTGCTTTGTCCTTACTGTAGTGATGCTTTATCAGGTATTCCAAGTAACCAGTAAGAAGAATAGATTTCCTTCTCAGTGCTTTCATTGTAGTTTGACCAAAAACCTACAAGAAAACAATATCATTAGGAAGAAAATGCAATTACTGCTGTTGAAAACAAAACCAACAAAAAAGAAACCTTTCAAAGAAAGATGAGACCATTTCTGACCTTTCCAATAATGTTCATAATTTGAAGAGCCACAATATTCTGAGATACTGCAGCACTTACTCATACTGAGTGGCAGCTCTCCCTACAGTATGGGTAATACCAGTGCTACTCAGTGCAATGCAGATTACACCAACAGTACTTTGAAAATGCAAGAACACTATATATGTTATAATTACCAGATGTAAAGCGCTTCCCTACTTACTATTATAATAGGTTTGAACATATTCACATGTGCACACAAGAATCTACACAAACAAACAGGCAATTAGAAGAGAAGTTATCTGGTTTGTATATATTAAAATATACATAAATACTGCAGGACCAATAAGTCAACTGTATTATAAAAGGGTGCTGCTGGTCCAGGACTGTGAAAGCGTTAGTGGGTTTGCTATTTCTAAGCATTCAAAATTTGTGGGTCATCATCTATGCTTACTTTATCCCTAAAAGTAAGCAAAAATGACAATATTCGGCACCAGATAAAATATGCCAGTGCTGCCTGTGGATGTCTTCAAAACTGTGTCTTGGATTATCATGACATCAGGACCCAAACCAAACTTCTTGTTTACCAGGCTGTTATCACCCCTACCCTGCTGTATGGGTGTGAGACCTGGACAGGCACACCTGAAAGCCTTAGAATATTACCTTTGGTGATATCTTTGGAAAATCCTCCACATCAGCTGGAAGGACAGATGCTAGAGAATAAACATCAAAGCACCTGACTTTCCCTGCAAAAGAGATTCTGGCCCCTAAATTCTAGCTGGCTAAGCTTCCCATTGGCTGTAGCTACAAAATCTGAGCATGGCTGAGACCCTTGAATGAAATGTGTGCTCACATGATGAGGCAATCATACTTGCTTTCTGGAAGGGAAATTTCAAAACAGTAATTAATGTATTTTAAGCACTTGTCCAGGAAAAGGAAGATACAGGTTCTAGGCCCTCCTTACTGGGCACATCTACGCATGCGGCAGACTGCTCAGTTGTTACTGTGCAGTCATTTAGTACTTGTTTAACTGATAGTAACCAGCATTACTGCACAGTCCCATCTCCTCACAGTAGAGTCACTGTCACAGTTCATGCCTGGTCATGCATTGCACTGTAAGCAATGAGTTACAGCACAGCAGCTCATTGCTACTGCGTTGTAGCATCTCATGTAGACATGCCCACCGAGATGGAGTTACTGGCTTAAAGCTCTTTGATTTCCAAGCACAGGGCTCTACCTGCCAAGCTACAAATTAGGCATTTTCTAGTGCCAGCTCCATCTCTGCTTTTGAAGCCTGGCCCTTGGCAGCTAATGGATGGAGATACATTAGGCCAAGAAGAAGAAAATACCCTATATGGTATGATGCTACTCTGCATAGGAGCGGACACTCGGTTGTAGCCTGCACCCAGTAGAGCAGGGACTTCCCTACTGTTTTCTATCTAATGACTAATAAATACAAGATGCAATGATTCAGCTTCAAGGAGGAGAGCTGGATTGTTCATCTTAGGTAATACTCTGAAAGTACTCCTCTGCTTGCAAATATCCACTGTACACACCTGAATATGATTCCAGTGCTGTTATGGGCATGTTACCATAGTAGGAATAGAAATCTGCAGGATGTGGCTGCTCATGAAGAGACCTTACAGTATTAGAGGTGGAATGTGAAGGAGGCAGGAGTGACCAGGGGATCATTTCCTGCTTGCACCTACAAGACCTGCCATACTACAGAGCTACTGTATTTTGCAGGGGCTGGAAGGATGCTTGGATCCTGTTCATAGGTTGCCTGTGTAAGCCTGTTTATTTAGGCTTGATGGAAGGAATACTTGCTCCTCGTTCCTTCTTCCCTGGGTGGAGTTTTGTAAAAAGATTTTTTTAATGTGACCATGGAGCTCTCCCAACATCTCCATTAAAAAAACAGCTAGTGCCATAACAGTCACTTTAAACCTTACTGAGGAATAGCTGCATTAACACTTGCAATGTTCATTGTTTCCATTGGAAACACTGCCTTCTGATTATTGTGTCCTGCGCAAGATGGCATACAATTTCACAAGCCATCTTTTGCCAGACATGAAAACTATTCTGTTTCCCACTGTATAAGAGCAATTATCACTGGGAAGTCCTGACTGTGCCAAAGGGTAATGTAGGCATGAAAAGGGAAGTCAATGGAAACTGATCTGCTCTTGTTGTTTGAGACTCCCTGCAGTGGGCTAAATTACATCAACCCACACAAACTGAAGCACTGACAATCTGGGTCATAGCAAAATAGTTTTTAGCTTATCTCTAAGGTCACATAAAGTTTAAAAATATATTGGATGCTTAAGGACCAGCAAAATAAATTGTCAGATGGAAAAAGAAGCATTGCCGTGCCCTTTTGCAGTCCTTCAGTATAGCATGTAATGCTGGAGAGAATGCAGGTGGTGATTTTGTGACTTTGTCTATTTTATATGTCTAAGGTATTATTTTTTCTTATATAAAGAAAGTAGATGAAAAGATGGTGTGTGAGAGTTCCTTTTATTCCAACATTGCCTTTACCATTAAGGCTAGGGCTAATAAAAAGGTTTCTGAAATCATTTTAAAAATTATGCTCCATTCAGACAGGTTGCAGAACCTTGCTAGCCAAGTCTGTTTTAAGTCCAGGTGTTAAAAGTAGCTTCTGAAGACTGTCAGTACTGCAGCAAACAGAAAGCAATATAAAGCTATCATTTTCATCTACAAAGGCTTCCTGAATACTTTACACAACTTACGAGTGTAAGAATAAATTTGAGCCATCACAGAGTCATGGCTATGTCTGCAGATGTGACTGTGCCATTACAAAGCACATCTAAGGGGTTTCTGTACATTTTCCAAAGTGGGCTGAATGCTCTTCTCAAAGCTTGATCATAGGAATATCTGTATATGAATCATGCCCTTTCTATACAGAGATGGGATTAGATACCTTTGGCAATAATATCATTTCCCATGGCCAAACAGAGCAGTCTCCATGACCCAGGATTTCATGCATGAGGAAAGTTCACACTGGCTGGGCCAGGGAAACATCATCTTCCTACATATTCCCCTAGAAAATGAATGTAGTGCCAAGATATATTCCCTTTGCACCTCCACTCTGTCTATCAGCCCAATGATTTCATTTTCAGGAAGACCCCAAGGCCACCTTCTGGTAGCAGATGTGCTGCCAGAATAAGGGAGATCAGTACCAGGTGCAAACACCTACTTTTTGAGTGGTCAGGCTGTGCTTCTCCCACAGGAATACAAACTCTGCTCTCCTGATAACTGAATTAAGAAACTATAGGAAGGAACTCTGTGGAACTTCGTCACATCTTCAAAGTGAAATTATGCACTGACTCAGTGTGCCCATCAGTTACACTGATGTAAATCTGGAGTAATTCCAGTGAAGATTATAGATTTGGCTACAATTTCCATTAAAAACCTAAAGGAGAGGCTCCTGAGCTAGACAAACGTAATCAGGTTTTTGCATTCAAATGAATCCAAACACACTGAACCCAACCAGAAAATTTGAGAGAAGTCACCAGGAATGTTTAACATTGAAAGTGTTCCTAATTTTATATTTATATTTTGCAAGACACAGTGATGATGAGAAATTGGGAAATCACTCAATATTTTGTAGTTTTCATTTAGAGTCATGAAAAATATAACCACTTACCTCTAAACTTGCATGTAGAGAGCAGACTAACAAAATTGGAGGATTTGATAGCCGAAATCCATTGATTCCTGGACTTAGCTGTAATTCTGGAAAATGAACAACTTTGATTAGTTTCATTTAAAAAAAAATCATTTTGAAGTACTTCCTCAAATCCAAACTTTGATTAAAGTTACTGGCATCTCAGGATTTGAACATTAACGTGAAACATGTTTATGAACAGTTAATATTTTTCATTCTTTGGATTGGAAATGTCCAAATTTATCCAATGGATGACTGTACCACCAGCTGCTGAAGAGGTAGAGGAAAGCAATTCGTTTTTATAAACTAAAATTACTATAGCTATTCTTAGGTCAGAATATTTTATCTCACTGCCATGAACTAGGAACATCTTCACTGAAAGTCAATGTGATACTTCACTGCAAAACTAAAGTAAATGAAGAAAGAGTACCTTGCCATATTAACAGGAAGCAGTGAACATATGGAGACTGCAAACTGTACTATGCAGTGCTCCATCTGAGCTAAGCAGAGTCCACTTCAATCAGCAAAGGAATATGTACAAAAGAAATGTAGTATCAATGAGCTGCTCATCTTCATTAAAGTTGAGAACTGCTTCAATTCATATTATACAACTTTTGGGAGCATCTGAACTGCAAGCCAGATGTTGACTATCACTGCTTTAGGCTCTGAAATGTCATTACATCAGTCTAATAGTGCATCCTTTGAAACACTGACATTGTGCACCTTTTCAGGGCAAAAGCAAGATCTTTTGGATGAGAGGAAACACTTTTCATTTACTGTAAAGGACTTGCTAATTTCACTCTTAACTGCCAGGCTTCCACCTCTGAACTGTACCTACTTAATGACTCTCTCTCCCTATATGACAGCTGGGGCCAGGGAATAGAGAAAATATTAAGGAAGGGATAAACTTAGCTTTTCTTGTTTAAATATGTATTAGAGGATGACTCATGTCTTATGCTTGTTCTCCAACAAGACAAATCCAATCTATCTTTCTATTTTTGCTTAGACCTCTTGTAATCTCTCGAAGACCACAATAAGGCCAGCGTATTATTGATCTCCACCCAAAATCAAACTGGCAAGGACTGTCATGGCAAAGCCACCATGCAAACTGCTTTCTCTCCTGAATGTTGAGAACACCTCCTTTGCAATGCTCAAATATAGAGCAGAAGGAGAGATTAATCTCCATCCTCGTGTGAGGCAGAACACAAACATTTACCTTTTCTCAGAACATTTTGTTTTGTTTTGTTTTCTCTTACACCTCACTGATATCGAGGGAAGAGGATTTAGTCAAGCAAAACCAGTAAAGCTTTTACCTAGGATCAGATTTGGCTAGCCGTATTCATTTTGCTTCTCATGAATTACACTTCTGCTCAACATAAAAACTCTAGCTTTTTTGAGACTTATAAGTAGGGTGAGTATATAATTTTGAAGGAAATCTGGGATGGGGGTCACCGCACACACACGCTCCCCAATCTCACATGTGCACACCCCTTCCCCCCAAACCCACACACACTCACACACATACTCTGAACTTGCAGCTCCCAGAAGCCCTGATGATGGGGCAGGGTGGGGTGGGACAGTGCAGAGGCCCATGGCCAAGCTGCATACCCACCTCCAGAGGCTAGACCCAGCTGAAAGTGGCCCCCCTGTGGCACCCACTAGGCTCCACCAGCCAATGCCTCCCCATCACCACTGGCAGCTTCCCAGGGCCACCACACACAGCCTCGGCCTTGGCAGCGGCCATCCTAGATCACCCGGCACAGGTACCTGAGCCCTGGCCTCCTTCTCTGGCCCACCTCATACTGGCCGATCCCTGCTGCAGGCAGGAAGAATAGAGCTCAGCCCAACTGTCCATCCACCCCGCCAGCCGTTGCTCAGGAGAAGCTGTGCCAGGCACGTACAGGTGGGGTAGAGCCGCTAATCTGAGATTTTTGCTTCAATTTTAGCCAACTAGAAGGGATGAAATCTGGGACTGTTCCAGCCAAATTGGGACTTATGCTCACCCTACTATAAGCCTAGTCAATTAGGTGTGTGTGCGGGCCGGGAGCGGTCCGAGGCCCTCGGGGGCCTGCGCGCGGTGGGCTGTGGCCAGCAGCCCGGACACGCCGGGTTGGGGAATGCAGGCCGGCGGGCTAGAATTAGGCACGGACGCTTAGCGGTTGATTAAAGATTATTTTACTTACACCGAAGATGGTCGCGGTGCAGGCAGGAAAACTTGCTTGAGTTGCAGTTACAAAACAAAACAAAACAAAACTCGAACCTGCAGGGCACGAGAGTACGTCGCAGGGGGTTTTCGGCGACAGGAAGATGCAAAACATGAGAGTACGTCGCAATGGGTTTTCAGCGACGGGAAGATAAACCTGCAGGACTCGAACCCGGGTAGAGCTCTGGATAGACTCTCACGAAGTTTGCTAGGCTCCGTGGAACTTGCGCGCAGGGAAAAAGGGGTTCATTGAAGGATTGCGCTCGGCGACGGGGAGAGGCCAGAGGTTGATCAGACCCCTATAGCCTGCGATGGGTTCGATAGGCTCCGCAGCGCTTAGAGATCTTCACAAGACGTGAAGTCCTCCTCCTCCAGATGGTTGTGGAGTCCTCCCTTGCGGGGTTCTCCTTGGAGTTCTCCAACTTGGGCGGAAACCGCTCAAGCCTCTTTTACGGCTAACAGGCCAATCGTTATGGCGGGAAATAATTTAGCAGTGCCGAAGCGCACACAAACAAAATCACACCCTTGGGTTGTGACAGTGTGTTTGTAACATTTTTCTATATTTCACATCTATTTCATGGCTTTTTTTTTGGCTGTGTATGGTTGTCCACAATATCCTGAAGCAAATAGCCAGGCAGACAAGAAAATACATCAAAGTAATTCTAGTGGTTACTTTACTCCTTTCAGTGAAGCTGTGGTATAGATCTGGAATGAGTTTGGTGTAGCATGTATAACACCAGTAAGCAAACTCTTTTCCATTGAAATAACTGGTGAAAATCTAGGTACATAGCTCAAAATAGAAATATACATACTGTTTTCCATGAGAAACCGTGTTTTGTAGTCATGGCCCCACCAGCCTACTAGCCTAAAATGTTGAAAAAAATGGGGGAAAAAACACACAATTATGCAACATAACATTTAATTCTGACATGAATAAGAATAACTAACTCCTGAAATATTAATCAAATTGTATAAAAAAATACAATAAGTTATGTGGCGTGGTATTAGGAACTTATATATTTGTACATTCCTTTTAAATGACTAAATGGTACCTGATAGTTTTCAAGCAATTAATCTCTTGGTTTTTAATTCATTTTACATATTGAAAATAAAACTGAAAAATGTCCAGTGTTTTTATTCCAAATATTAAAAGCACAAACTGAAGTCTCCTTTGATAAACACTGAGCATGCTATAAATTTGACTTAATACAACAAAAGCAAAGATATGAACAATAAACAAAAGAGAGGTAAAAGAGTCTTGCTTCATCTTTTCATTACTGTGGTACACTGGGAATAAAATATCAGATTATAAGACTGTTTGTTACTCAAAGCTAGGATTTTTGTTTTTAATTTAAAGGGGGCCATTAGACTTTTTGAGGCAAAAATATGAAAACAATTTATGAATCTTTTCCAAAGTGGTGATTTTGGAAAAAATAAATAAAATGTGAAAACACCAGAATTAAAGGTTTTTAAGTGTAGTAGAAAATATTTTGTACCCGGTACTTGCCATAAACCTGACTGATGTGGCCATGCAAAGAATTGGGTGGAGTAAAATAATTCCTGAATGACTTTCATATATGTTGGGCCAAGCAGGCACTACAAACCCAGTACTTTTCCCCAGGCTTTGTTGTCATTGGCTTCCTTTTCTTTACACTAACTAGCATAACAGAAGGTGTTATAGCACATTTCCAGCTGGAGCAACCAAAGAACTCTTATGAAAAAATATTCTACTCTGCCATACTCTTGGACAAGCCAAGCAACATGCTTCCCCTTACAACAGCCAGATTGCAAAGTAATAAATTACTTGTGACTAGACTGATTTGTAACCCTGCATGTAAAGAATTTTATATGAACTATGTACAGTCAGATAAAGTACTTTACTATCTAATTTGGATAATAACATAGATTTTATGTTTTACCCTTGCACAAAGGTTGCTGACTCACATCTAATCATATTATATACAGTGGAAATGTGAAATACTGTGTTGCTGAGTAATACTTTTTACTATTTGAAATCCCAGGGAAATCACTAGTGATCCATCTGTTTGCTTCAGTGACATGTTGTTCAGTCAAAAGTAATATATTTCAACAAATCATTATATACCTACTACCCAAGTGACTCAGACTAATGCTTTGAATTATAATGGATATATCAACAACTGTTTTATATGCACTTTATAGCATCTTATATGCACTTTATAGCATCTTTCAACAAAGTATTTTACAATAAAACACATTTTTACTTCATATTATCATTAAAATATCACATTGAAATCAATGGGGTGATATTCTGTATGTTCCAACAGACTTAGCGTAGCAAAAATTCAATGTGAAGTACACTACCAAGAATAATGCTGTGTGAAAAGGAAAAAAAACACTTAAAAGATTTCTCACTGTGGACCACATCCTGAAATCTTTATTCTAGCAATAGCAGTTAACAAGAATACTCCCCAAGCAAGGAAAAATGAAGGGCTGAAGGACCAGACTTCAGGTTTTAGTTCAGATGAGAAGCTAATTGGAATTATATTTGAATAACTGGATTCTATGAGACTGTGAAACTTCCCTTGAACACAATTTCTTCCTGGGTTGAACGCAACTTGATCTTGATCTTGGAAACTGAAATTTTAGAACTTCACAAAAATGTGGTTTTAAAAATCAATAAAATTGATTTTGTGGTTTTTCCATTTTGAGAGTATTATTATATTAGAGGTAGCTCTGATCCTATATGCCATCACCAATCCAATGGTCTATGTGGATGTCATATTATTTGATATATGATATGTCAATAATATGACAGAGGTTTCAAAGTGGTGGAATTTAAAAAAAAAATCTTTAAAAATAAATAGCTTGCAGTATATAATAATCCATGAAAATTTTGAAATCAGGGATGTCGCTGTTATGCCAAATTTTAGTTTGACATGATGAGAAATAGTTGAGGTGTTAAACCCTAAATATAATAGTTTGTAACTGTGTGGTAAAAATAATAGGCAATAAAACTACACAGTAAGATGTTGTAATCAAAGTTGTTATTAAATAATTGCTATTCTGCCTGCAAAGTGAATGTTTAGAAGTGGGTTAGACACCTGAAATATTCTTGTTTGCAAAGTCTGAAGTTATTCACCTGTAACGTTTATTTTTAAACCTGATCCAGGATTCTGGAAAAAAACCGTGAAACAGAAAAGGAAAAAAAAAAGAAGATAACCTTATACTTATAAAGCACTTTCCTTAACCAGATTTTCAGAATGAAAATGTGCTGGGAGAACAGCTGGTACAGACTGTGCATGTCTGTTTTGCAAACCAGGTTAAAAAATGGTGCTCAGATTGGATGAATTAGTCCTGCTCACATGTTTTTTATAAGCCTTGCTGAAAATGGAGCTTGCCTGGATTGTTACTTGAACATACAGGACTGTTCATCTTTAAGACTTTTTAAGTTTAATATAAAACAATTAGAAATATTTTATAATAAAACATATGAGCAAGATAGGCACTAAAGGGGCATCCCAGAAAGAGGAACATGGAATTGTGTCTTTTCAAGCTTTCTTTGACATTGTGTTCATGTACTGTTTCTAGGGCCTGATGGCTAGAAAATTATATTTAAAGATTTGCTTTTAGGAATTGGCTTGTAGGTAAAGTAGATATACATGAGAATAATGGTCCAGGGGAATGGCAAGGGTTAATTGGTTTCTAAAACCCTGTTTGTGACAAAGTTTCCTTCAAGGCCCACTGTGTCTGAAGCCAGCAGACACACAGGCCAGGAAACTGAACGCACGTACCACACTGTTCTCTAATATGAGGTAGGGTGGCATTAGGTCACAGTGCCCAACTGCAGATCCCTTGGAATTTCTGGTTTTGGTGGACAGGCAAAATTAAGATATTGGTAAAATAACTAAATTAAGATGTCTGCATATGATGGATTTGTTGGAAACAAAGGATTATGCTGACAGAACAGAATGTGGACAGTATAACAACTACAGAGAAACCAGTCAATAATGCCCAGGATAAAGAGTCATCAGAGGGGAGAAAGGCTACAAAAGGAAGGATTTTAGAGCGGCAAAAGGTCCCTGAGAGGGAAACCCAAAGCCGCCATGAACAGAGGCCACACCACCAGCCCATCTCACCCACCTGACTGGGAAAAGGGTGGGTCTTGGCCTTCCACCTCCAGGCTGATGACATCTGACATTCAAGAGAGAACCACAGGGTGAAGCTGGCATGCTGGCCAAATGCACCTTCCCTCTGTGACAGCCCTAGGACTGTCACAGAGGGAGATATAGTAGATATAGAATTGGGGTGGCTTATTTTGTTTGCCTTGCCTACATTATTCTTATCTGCTATCACTGTGTATCAGTAAAATTCTCCTATTATCAAATGGAGAAGTTGTGATCAGTCTGAGTGTTTGGGTCTTCCCAGAACAAGGTTTCTGGGTCATAAATCCAGTGCTGACAGTGCCCTGGCACATGTTCACTTAATGGTGCAATAGGATCTGTTCCCCAGTCCCAATAATCAAGCCATCTGCCATGTCATATGTGCATGGTAGGGTGGATGATTTTGTGATTGGGAATCCAATCGAAACTGTGTCATTACTACTTGCCAATGCAAGTAGTCCTGGACTCTCCCTGGCCTGATGATGATGATGAAGAGAGCGTTGCCACCATGGGTGACTGGTGCCTCCTGAGTCAGGGGGGCACTTGCCGCCCCCCCTCCCCCAGCAACCAGTCAGCAACCTGGGAGGTCTCCCCCACAGCTGACCATCCCAACAGGGGCCTGGCTGATTGTGCCAACTCAGAAGTTCCAGTGGTGCTTCTCCTGGCACCCCCACTCCCTGGTCGGTGCTCTCAGGAGTGGCACCAGCACTCTTGCCTGCCCCCCCACCCATTGCCTAAGTGGGGAATGCTGGTTATCAGGGGGTGCATTAGCACTCTTGGGGGGTGCACATGCACCCCTGTTCACCCCCTACGTGTCATCACTAGTTGCCACATTCATATGTTGGAAGCATGAAGGCCAGAAAGCTAGCAACAGGTAGAATGGTCAATGTCAATGAGACCTTGGGCTTCTGAAGGAAGGCTGTAAGGGCATTCATAGATAATGTGGTCAGCCCCCTGAGCCTGGGCATTACAGCTAGAGTCAGTGTCATTGCAGAGGCCCCAAGAGAGCACTTAAACTGTCCAATGCCTGCTCTGAGATGGTTAAGAGCAGTCCAGGCCCTGCAGGGCAGCTGCCATCCTGAAGGGCAGAAGCTGGTATTGGAGATGAAGTTCTTTAGCTGAAGTTCTTGTTCAGCATATTTTCTGCTCCACTGATGAGAGGTCCATGCTGCAGGTGACACACCATTTGCAGATTCAATGAGTTTATTAGCCTTAGTGGAGTACGGGTTCTGAGACTTCAGGTAATAGTTGGTTTTCTGGCTTGTGACTACTAGGATGGAGGGAAAATAGTGGTCTGGATCTTGGGCTTCAAGGCCTAGGGTCTGGGTAGCAGCTTGTCTCCAAATGTCAGGGGGGAAGAATGCCTGAGAGGCCTGGTAAGCAGTCAATAGGGGTTGGCATAACACATCTGGTAATGGTCCTCATGAATGCTGTTAAGGCTGGAATCCACTAACTTAGTATATGTGCTCCAGCCCTATACTGGTGCACAGAACTCAGCAGGAGCACACACAAATATTGAAGCGGAGGTGTGAAGTGTTTGGAAACTTGCACCCCGGTGGTGCCAGCAAGGATAAGAGCTCCTTTGCTGTTAACCGTACCCTGGACCCCTTCCACATGCTGGTGGTAGGTAAGAGTCCAGTCCATCTTGACTCTTAAATAAGTAATGATGCAACAATGTTCAAGTGTCCAGTTGCCAATCTTGACTTTTATTTCTTTCTCTGCT